TCCGTACAGAATATATCAAGTATCAGGATAGTATCCTTCATCAGTAGATCCGCATGTGTGAGTGAGTCTAGTTTTACGCCACACTCAGCAATATTCCAGCTATATGTCGAGACCAGACAATCCAGACAATCCAGGTATCAATAGCATGAGCATCGATCTACGCAACTGGGATACGATGACAGGTGTCAACCAAGTCAGCAAGTCTGACCACACGATCCCGTTAGTCGCCTCCTACGACCAGCATGGGTTACTGAAGATCAATTATAACCCGGATCTTCACGGGTTCATGAAATATAAATGTTAACACCGAGTATTAACACAAAGATAAGTGTTGACGACGACGAAAACCTTATGCAAGAAGGTTTGTGGCTGTGAAAAAGACCAGGAAAACAGATCAGATCGCTTGCATGTGCCGCACGCCGTTTCACTTCATACGTGGGTAACGTGGCACTCTTGGTTTTGACACTTTCAATGGAGGTCAGTTAATCCATGCTGACGTTTATTTTGGTCAATCTAATAAGTTGCAAAGTACTTATTGTTATTGCCTCTGTGTAAACAAGCCACGCATAAAATGACTTTGGGAAACAATCGTATTGAACCACCTTTGTCCGCCATATGCAAGCAACTGTGTCATAAACAGTTGAAATATACAAAGTATTTTCTTTGCATCTCGCCAACTGTTCTGACACTATAAGATACGTTACTAGAATGGTCACCGCTCCTCTGGTATTGGTAAAAGGTGTCGTGAGAAGAATCAGACAGACAGCTATTTTCAAATGGCACTCAGATTGTTATTGAAGGAAGCGCAAGAGAAATCACAATAAGAACAATAAGAGCATGTCGGACCAACAGAAGCTGGTCCATAACACAATACAGATTGATGAATTCTGTTAACTGTTGTAAATAACGGATAACGAAAAGCTAACCATAGCCTTACATGTTTGGCAATATGCCATTTGGAATCTAACCAGGTATACCATTTATATAACATTCTTCTAGGAGATTGATGAGTCACATTTATTGGATCAGAAGCACAATGAGTGACTCTTCGACATTATATAAAGACATGATACCAATGGCCGTATTTGGTGGAATAACGACATTTCAAGTGAGTATGGTTTTACGCCACTTTTAGCAATATTCTAGCAATATCACGGTCGGGGACACCACAAATGGGCTTCACACATTGTTCCCGCGTTGGGAATCGAACCCGGGTCTACAACGAGCGGACACTTTAACCACTAGGCTAAACCATCCCACCCCACCCCACCCCCGATAATTTCCTAATAACACTTCTGACGCAAATTGATCTAATGTAACCGAAATGTTCAATATTGATTGTCAATGATTTTCAACGTCCGTTTTAATTCTTAACTTCGTTGTTATAGCGTGAGGTCTCGATAGCAGAAAATTGTTGATCACTAGATTGTCGTTTGGAAAGAAATGGCTCGTTGATCATAACAAAAAAGAGCGGTGAAGTCGTAACTAGACGCCACATCAGCGTAGATCGATGCTTGATGTTGATCACTGGATTGAATCGGGTGGTAGGCTCTTGTTGATGACTGCTTGACGCATGTCGTAGACGCCGTATAGCGTAGATCGATGCTCATGATGTTGATCACTGGATTGTCGGGTGGTTAGGCTCGTTGATCACTTAGCTGACGCATGTCGTAGACGCCGTATAGCGTAGATCGATGCTCATGATGTCAAGGTCATGATTGTATGGTCCAGACTCGATTATTTACAGACCGCCGTCATATAAGTGGAAGCTCGCTGCGTGAGGCGTTAAGGACCCAAGCAAAATTATATAAACATTTTTATTATACTTTTTAGCGAAACATGGAAAATAATACCCGACAACCTGTCAATTCCCACTGATAACACAATGGTTAATCCATCCCAGACTCAAACGTTATGCAGGCGGTAAGGTACGTAAGCTGCAGCGTTGTGGAATGCGAGCTGACGCCTTTAAGTCGTCGCTTCATTACAACCACAAGAAATGCTTAACCCGTGCCGTCAGCAGATCACTTAAGCAAATACGTCCGTGCCAAGATGACCAGTTTGGCGAAGCTCTCACTGAACCCTCGCTTGCATGATTGAGGTATTTAAGCGTATTTGCGACATGCCTCGGACCATGTTACCTTATTCCACTTCCGACATCTCCTTGTAGACCCCGTCAAGGATAATGCCAATCGATCAGCAATACTCCAGCAATTAAACCGTCTGATCATGTCCTCACCCTTTGCCAGGCTAATACATCACTCTCGGACCTCCTCCAAATGTTTGCCGATAGTTACGTCTGTGAGGTCTCGCGAGAACTCAGCGGTAGTTTAGAGTTTGGAATCACCATGAAGAGCCTCGTTTTCAACCAGGCCAAATTTACCGACCACGATCAAATAAATATGGCATTTACAGATAAATATCGCCTATATTATTTTCTGTACTGCAGCATATAAGGATATATTTCAAAATGTCCTCGCAAGAGAAATGGACTTTGTAAAATGAATCCACAATCATATCGCTCTGGTTTAAAAGGGGAATTCACAGTGTTTTTACAAATATGTCGGAAATGTGTAAATCATGCATCGACCCCTTGGGAAATCTGCTGATAGATACTGAACTGTCAGTTTCAGGATGCCAAGGCATTTTATTGCTGACTCGATGGAAATCTCCACGCAGACATTGATTTGCCTATGTCGCTTCTCGACCACGCTGAATATGCTGATGCTTCCGTTGAATCCGTTCTCTATCTTGCATTGAAATCTCATTAATTTAAGATATTCAATCATTTCTAAATGTCCATCAGCGCTTTGGTGGCTATATATTTGAAACCATGATTGAAATGTTCTCCCACACGAATAGCAAGAGGATCCATTCTACTTTGCTTTTCATCTTGTCTGAAGTTGACCTTTTCATAACCATTATATGTCAAGAGTGTAGTTGAATTAAAGGTAATAAATAAAGTCTAATTACATCGAACTTCAAGTCCGAGTCTCATTTTGGCGAGTGGACGGCTCTCTGTGTGAGGAATTAGGATTGCCCTCTCGATTTCAATATATAAGGCTGCACCTTCTAAGACAATAACACATAATTCTAGCTTTGATGTCAATATTTATGTCAGCCAGTCAAGAGCTTAATAAATTTATGAATTTGGTACCGTGTACTCTTTGAGTATAACCTAGTATTCAAGCTGGTTCTGTGTGGATCAGAGTTACTCCCCTTGCGTATCAGGATCCGATGGCGTATAACAGTTGTAAATTCTTCACGAGGCGATTACTTAATGGGCAAGGCAAACGCTCACAAGATGATAGTGGGCACCGTATAACAGTATGACCGGATGCGTGTAAATTCTTCACAGGTCTGGATCTAATGTGACTGAGATACCATGAGTTATGAATTCAGACAAGTTGAACAACAAACAAACGCTCACAAGTACCATAAACTTTGGGACGCGGCATCGTCATTGAATATCAGGCGGTATACACAATGTAGTTCAATACGAATACGATTACTGATCAGTGAATCTACTCATAAAATGGATGCATAAAATATAAAATAAAACCATAATGAAAATGTTTAATGTTTGGAAACCTTATGTGACCACGCTTTGTCATGGTTCAACAATGTCAAAACTTCGGATATAAATCAATTCCAAGGCAATATAAATAATTGTCCTAGGACTGAAACTAAATAACCACACGATGATAAGATTTCATTCAAAGGATAATTCAAAGGATATGAATTCAAAGGGAAATTAAGAGGATATAAATTGGTTTAGTGCTCGTTCTTTTACCGCGAAAAATTCCGTGCTGCACGCGCGAACTTGACGAGAGGCCAGCCGTGCCTCCTCCATGAAAAGTCACGTTTAACTTTTGCTCGATATTTGGAATACATTCACCCACGCGTTTGGAGCTTGTGGGATTTTATTGAACATGCTCTCACCCTCCGACCGTCTCACCTTTCTGAGGTAGGTAGTTTAACATTGTTGACATCAGTCACAAAGACGCACACCCATAATCAACACTCCATTTCATCTTTGATGGGGCGCGGATGGCCCAAATGTCTTCGTCATTACGTAGACTTGCGTTCCATGTCCAGGAAAGATTTCCACCCTGTAACACCCGTTTTTTTTATCATTCTTTGCCTAAGAATAGATGTGAAACTACCCTAACATCACAACCCTCGAAATGATTACAGACTACATTTCAAGCGGGGTTACGGGTGGAACTCTTACCCATGTCCACACTAAACTGACTCGAATCCCTGTTCTTCCCGATTATATTTCTCTGCTGAAGGTTTTTGACAGAGGTACACACTCCACAAGCATTACTTTTGGGTCACTCACCCCGGAATAGTAACTGAAAATCAACGCTGTGAAACAAACATCACAACGCTAACAGGGATATTCTAAAACTCGAAAAGTAAATGAAATACTGCACCAAACGAAAAAAAACAACCTCACTCACTCACTCGCGAAAACAACATGCTTAACATGCCGAGATTTAGTTAATGGCACAATTTGAATCAATACAAAAGTCCATTTGCACAAAGATAATTATCGCCTGGCTTTGTGTATCCATCTATTAATGCATCCTTCTGTTTGTGGGCAAGTTGGTTTTACGCCGCTTTCAGCATCACGGCGGGGGGCATGTGGGGAATTGAACCCGGGTCTTTGACGTGACAAGCGAACGCTTTAACCACTGGGCTACCCCACCGCTCCCTTCTGTTTGTGTGTATTGATTCAATAGTACTCGTATTCCAGATTGTATTGAATCATATCAACCACTTTCATAATTCCATCATACGTTGTCATGCTCCAGAGCGTCTTCCAGGTTCAGTGCGATCGACCCCGGCATGTTGTTATACAAACTCATATATTATAGAGAAATCCACTCCCGTTTCATGGATATCAGTTCCTGCATCATTGTCCCGGCTTTATATCCTCATCAGTACAATATGATGTGGTAGACACAATGCCTCGTCAACCGCTTCCATATCGCCACCTGGCTAAGACACAAGTGATTGCTTTTGCGGAAAATTACATCACTTGTGACACAGTGTTGCGCGATAACGTCTCCAGATCGTACAGTCAGTGGTAAATTTTCCCTATCGATTAACACTGTATACGTTTCTTAGGGGATGTTCATCGCCAAGTGATAGGACCCTTGCGTAACGAAAAATCGACACGGCAGACCTTTTCTCCCAACAGCTTGGCAACGTTGGCCTCGGTGCCACGGAGGCTCTGATTTACTGAGCGGCTCGAATCAACTTGTAATAGAGTTTCTTCCCAAAAGTTTAAATTTCTACTTTCCGGTGATGATTGGTACAACGCATGCGCAGACACGAGGGACTGACTTAACCTTCTTTTTCTAGTGTGCCTTGATCAATGATGACTTTGTGAGCATTCTGACCTTTGATGACTCGGATATTCTTACTCGTTGCTTCTTCATCCAGTGCAGGTAAGTGCTTTGTCGACTTATGATGTAATATTTGCCTTTATTCAGTATATGTTTCAACCAGTGAGTCCAATTTGACTCTTGTTCAAATTTCATAGGAGCCTTCCAATCCTTTGAAAAATATTGACATGTGCATGGATATCATGAATATGGTGTTTTTCAGAAAGTGTTTGAATATCACATTAGTAGCCTGTATAATATGCCTGTGGCAGAACGCTCTCAGTGTTAGTCATGCATCCGTTAGCCTGTAAATCTGAAGCTATGCCATATTCTGAAAATTGTCTTTAGTGATTTTGGTTGGACTTTTTCGCCATCCTGTTTTTGACGTTATCTGCGATTAACTGGACCAATTTTTCGGCTCGGCGATTTGGTTTATGACGTGGCATCGTCCTCTGATAGTTTGGATTGTGTGGTCCAGACTCGAATATAAACTGGTTGGAATGTTGCTGAAAAAACCGTGGTAACAGCAAATACAAGGCAGGTAAAATAGAATATCACTGTGAAAATGAATGATTTCAGAGACTGATTTCATCATGTGTCATCGTGTTCTGAACATATTCCTTAGTCATTGTTTCTGAGACTGATTTCATCATGTGTCATCGTGTTCTGAACATATTCCTGAGTCATTGTTTCTGAGACTGATTTCATCATGTGTCATCGTGTTCTGAACATATTCCGGAGCCATTGTTTCTGAGACTGATTTCATCATGTGTCATCGTGTTCTGAACATATTCCTGAGTCATTGTTTCTGAGACTGATTTCATCATGTGTCATCGTGTTCTGAACATATTCCGGAGCCATTGTTTCTGAGACTGATTTCATCATGTGTCATCGTGTTCTGAACATATTCCTGAGTCATTGTTTCTGAGACTGATTTCATCATGTGTCATCGTGTTCTGAACATATTCGGGCGGTGGGGTAGCCTAGTGGTTAAAGCGTTGGCTCGTCACGCCGAAGACCCGGGTTCGAATCCCCACATGGGTACAATGTGTGAAGCCCATTTCTGGTGTCCCCCGCCGTGATGTTGCTGGAATATTGCTAAAAGCGGCGTAAACCCAAACTCACTCAGTCAGTCAGTCAGTCTGAACATATTCCTGAGTCATTGTTTCTGAGACTGATTTCATCATGTGTCATCGTGTTCTGAACATATTCCTGAGTCATTGTTTCTGAAAAAGGAATACTGGAGTAAAGTGGTTAAATTGTTGGTTCGTCACACCGAAAACACTGTTTTGATTTACAATATTGATGCAATACATGAGAAAAGTAGCGTAAACCCATATCCATTCACAAATATTGGTTTCGTTAATGTCACGTTTTGTCAACCGATCTCCCATCACGAGTATGAGACTATCCTCGACAATGATATCAGGCAGATGATGTAGTTAAAAGCATGATGCTTGTCAAAAAGAATCGGAAAATCGATCCCTACATTACTCAAATGTCATAACGGTAATAGGCACGTATGCATCGCACGTCGTCGTTCACTAATCATGTAGATAATAACAATAAGTTACAATTACAGCATCATCGATGACGTAAGGGAAACGTTTCTGCTGATTCAGCTTTCCCGGCTGTCGTCAGCCTATTGTAGCTGTCAGATTAGAGAAGTGCAGGTGTACATAGTGATGATTTATTAAATGTTTATATAGAATAGAATACAATACAATAATACTTTAATGCCTTTTCAGGAATTTGTGTTACATCAGCAGAGCTACTGACACATTAGAGAGATACCAAACATATTTACATAAATTCTTTGATTTAGGTATCTTCACATTTGTTTAAGAGAGATATGGTACTTGGAATAAAGGATGTACGGGCTCTCTTAGTTTTCACAATTGGAACTTTGTAGCGGCGGCCTGAAGGGGGGAGGTTGTATTCCGAATTTAAGTAGTGAGTACGGTCAGATATGATTTTGACAGCTTGATTAACGATTTGCAGCTCATATATTGATGATAAACATTCAAATCTGACACCTGCGATTTTATTTGCAGTGTTAACAATTTTGTCTATTTTAGATTTGAGATGAACTGAGAGAGACCCGTACCAACAATGGAAGGAAAATGTTAAAATACTCTGAATAAATGCTACTAAGAAAGAAAGGTATGCAGTATTCATGATCGTCATGTCGGAATATGAACAATAGCATATTGATCCCAAGGACAAGCCGGCATGTGGCTTGTCTTTCAGTTTCAGTTTGCTGTTTAAAGCTGCACTCAGCAATATTCCAGCTATATGGTGGCGGTGTGTAAATAATCCCAGCTAACAATGTTACGTTCTCACAACGTTATGCTTTCGTTGTTACAACGTTATTCTGTGGACTCTCATTTACGTTGTCACAACGTTGTGGCCAGACGTTTTGATACGTCATTTTCACGTCGCCACACGTTTCAAGTTATTTGATGCTAACGTTGTCTTAATGTTCAAAATCCATTAAACGTTTACAGTTGAATAGTTTTCCCAGTAGTGAAAAGTACATAAGAACCAAAGCAGAAATTTGCTTCAATGTTTATTCGTCAATTTGCATGTTGTTTTGGTCGGGTGTTTCCTGAAGCTGTAGCTGAATAGTGAAGAAAGAATCTCAAAGAGAAAAGGTTTACAGAAAACTCTATCGTGACACCAAGTTACAAGAAACGTTGTTACAACGTTCAACGTTGTGACATAACGTTATAACATGACGTATCGTTGTGACAACATTGCGTCATGACGTTATCAATCTACAAGCTTCCCACAACGTTGCGAAAACGTTGTGTGTTAGCTGGGAATCGTGCCTGGACCAGATAATCCAGTGATCAACAGCACGAGCATTGATCTACGAAATCGGGGGATACGATGACGTGTCAACCAAATCAGCGAGCCTGACCACCTGATCCTGTTAGTCGCCTCTCATGGCAAGCATTTGCTGCTGAAGACCAATTCTAACCATGATTTTCTCGGGTCTCAGGTTCAGTGCTCTTTAGAAAGTGCACAAAGAAACTGATTCATAGAGAATTCTAAACGATGTCCCGTGTAATGCCATGTTTAGTATTTTATTTATTACTCACCCAACGTTAGCAAAATAATATCGAGCAAAGTACTTCTTTCCTAAGAATTCAACGAGTTTGATGACTCTCAGCTTTCCGCAAGTCAAGCTTGGTCTAATAAGATTGTGACAGAGGTATAAATTAGCATTGTGACGTCATAACTGTAAACTACTTTGACGTCATACGCTCGGCATCACGCGATGTTATTGCACAATGTGTAATAACATTGTAAAATTATTAAACAGTGATATCTTCAACGGGTGAGTAATAAATGCACATAGTCTCTGGAGGTGAAGGTCATCAGTGGCCAATCGATAAGGCTCCGCTATTTGCTGTGCAAAGTTGCGCCCCCTGAGCGTGGCAAAATCTGGTTCGAGTCCCAGGTTCGACGTGTTTGTTATTCCAACAAAATGACTGGTGTTTCACACATTACATCCATTTGCTTGTGTCCATCTTCGGAGTGACGAACGAAAACCTTAAACATAAGGCAAAAGCATCGCTCTCCATCCAGTGATATAACCTTTCCTCCGTCCCTCATTTCCTCCAACGTCCCTTCTATAAGACAAGGTAACATACATGCAAAAGGAACAGTATGTCATCATGCCATAAGATACTGGGGGAACAAATATGGGAACACCACTTCATGGCACGTTATTTATTCTCAGATTTCCTCCCGCAGCGCTGATGATGAAAATATTAAAGGAACGCTTGAATTTGTCTGTTCCTTTATTTGTTTCCTTCAGTATGTGTAATTTGTTAGATGACAAGTCAAAACATTGATTACACAACAGTCTCGTTTCCTGCTGACTGGGTTCCGTCCTATTGCGCAACTTAGTACAATAACCAGTCCATAATTTTGAGACCAATTCATTCAACTGGATACATATATATTAATCAGTATTATTTGATACATTTAACCACTTGTATATTGCAACACTACGCTCCTTCTAATCCTTGCAACCACGTCGTCCAGCGCGCTCTGTCGTACAGCGAGCTCTGACATACGGAAATCTGGAAATCGTGGAAATCTCAAAACGCGGTTCTGCAGCTAGAAAAGTTTGGCGGTCTGGTACGGAATTGATATTATATCAATCACATTGTACGTCACAGAACTACACTGAATAAGCGCAAAAACACATAACAGGTGTAACCAGTGAGCCAGATGCATTGTGAATCCTTTTACGACCTCATCAAACAGGGGCAGTCTGTGACGTCTTAGTTAAGGTCATGCTGCCGACACCTCGCCATAAAATATAGAAATACGATGTAATTAAAGTTTAAAATTAAAATTAATTTGTAAATACCATTTTCTTATGAAACAAGAAATTGGAATTCAGTGTAACCATACTTATTTGTGGTGTCTCTTTTCTCTTTCACACGAGAACATTTGGATCGACTGAAAAGTAGGTCATTGTCTGATTAGGTTAATGAGACTCATGTTTCGGTTTGCACAAAAAGTTAAGGAACACCTGAATGTTTTTCATACCCATAGTTAATACCGCCTTCCAATTGCGGGTGTTCCTAACTTATTGTGAGTAGTATATATTAATTAAGGCAATTTGTCTACACTTATCACACACAACGTGCGGGGACTGTCGAGGATGGGTGAAGGAGGGACTTGATTAGATGAGGCCACTATGTCAGGGGGATGATGATAATGCGTCTGGGACGGAATCATACATCCTCAGACGGATGAACCTGACCATAATATTTACTCAGGCTTCGTCGCCATTCATATCCTGAGTGATGTTTGTCCTTATCAATAGCCCGTCTCAATCAGCGTCGGCGAGAGAAGGGTCAGGTAGCCTTCTGAACTGCACACAGTGTGTGTATGTAACACATCGATGTATTTAAAGTGTCGTGTTTTCAACACGCTGGACGGCATTGTCAAGTATCGGTTACCTGTGGGCGTCATCGTTGACATTAGTAGAAGGCTGCATTGAACAATCGATGTTTGATACAACTATGTTGTCTTTCCTG